ATATATGTGTATGCATGTTGTTAGCACATACTTGTGAAATTTCAGTTCTTAGGGTTTCTCATGCCCCCAAATAAGATCTGTGTCGGTGCGGCCCCAAAGAGCGGTGATTTGACGCAGATTGAGCCTGGTCTTAAATGTGTTTAGTTAGGTCTTAATTATGATAATGTTTTCAATAATGATAATGATTCAATGCTATTCAAGAGAAATGTTTTTCGGCGGCATGTTTAGTTTCTGGAATTGATAGCCGACCAACACCCTGATCAGAATTGATTGGCTGTAGGAAAGACGATAGATTCCAAACTGTCTCTCTCTATAGTCTATAAAGTCATATGGAGTTTCGAGGGTTATTCTCTACTCTGCTACTTCATCTCATCTTCAATTGTGGGGAATTGTAAGTAATTCTGGGATTTCATTAGTCTTTCATAGCAGCTGTACTTGACTTGGCTTATAATTTTCTGTTATTATCTTTAAAAAGTCTTAAATTTAAACTGACAGAAATCCTTGATGGAACTAGTTGGTGCTTCAACAAAGACAAATTGTGTATCTTTCATACTTGTTTTCATGGAATACTTTTTGTGTCCACAGTTTGTTGTGCTGCCATGAAGGAAACCACATTTTTTGCAGGTTCTTTAATGAAGTCTTGTGATCTCTGTTGTAGTGAAGTCAGCTGTGATGGCCAAACTCCAGGGCTTTGAGTTCTGGAGTAAGACCCTGAACGAAGCACGCTTTGTGGTGGCCCCCATGGTGGACCAGAGCGAGCTGGCCTGGCGCCTGCTGAGCCGCCGTCATGGTGCCCAGCTCTGCTACACCCCCATGCTGCACGCTCAGGTGTTTGTGCGTGACGCCAACTACAGGCGAGAGAATCTCTACAGTGAGGTTTGCAAGGAGGACAGACCTCTCATCACACAGGTGAGGACACAGTTTTTACACATTGTTGGTGATGGGAGATGGGAGAGCTGGTGGAAATCTCACAGCATGTTTTTCATTTTCAATAATTCTGTGCAGTCACAGGCTTGTCATGAGACTTGTGTGAAATTAGACACACTTATGTAATGTTAGATGTAAATCAGTGTTGTATTGTGTGTGTGTCAGTTTTGTGCCAATGATCCAGAAGTGTTCCTCGAGGCGGCCCTACTAGCCCAGGACTACTGCGACGCCATCGACCTCAACCTGGGCTGTCCACAGATGATAGCAAAGAGAGGTACACAAGTTTCTATGGAAACAAAACATCCCATTCTTCACCTATTGGTTGTATCAGAAAAGACACAAATACCAACCCTGTAGACGACATAGTGAAAAATAAACTAACTTGTCTGATACTTGTTTGTAAGGGCACTATGGAGTCTTCTTACAAGATGAATGGGAGCTGTTGGAGAAAATGAGTAAGTCTTGAAAAACCTGAAACCTGCAAATCACTCATCACATCATCAACTTCTGCTTCTTTCTCTCTCTTTTACAAATCCCAACAATTTCACTCTCTCAAACTAACATGTCACTCTGGTTTTACAGTCAGGTTAGCCAATGAGAAGCTCTCGGTGCCCATCACATGTAAGATCCGTGTGTTCAAGGAGATGGAAAGGACGGTGTCGTACGCCCAGATGCTGGAGAAAGCTGGATGTCAGGTATGACTATAGTGATCGTGTTAACATGAGCCTGTCCACACACTGCCCCCTATTCAACCGTATTCTTTCATGCCCTCCTTCCTAAATTACTTTCTTTATTATCTACTCTTAACATTAATTACCTGTGAAAAATCAATAAAATATGATTATTAAAACAAATTATGAGTCAGATCCGATTGTGGCTCTGTGCTTTATGTTGTACAAATGTTCAAATCAAACATCGGTTTTTAATGTTAGAAATAATGGGCTTATTTTAGCTTTCTGAAAATGTATTTATACATCTGGAAAGATTACCTGCAATTTAGTTTCAGGAAAATTGAGAAAAGTTTTAGATGTCCCTAAATTTGACTTCTTCCTCGTCCATTTCTTTATCACAGCTGCTCACAATACATGGCAGAACCAAAGACCAGAAAGGAGCCATGACGGGTATCGCTAACTGGGAGCACATCAAGGCAGTGCGGTGAGCTTCCGCCTTTTTGTTCTAATTCCTCAGGGCACTGTGTTGTATCTGAAGATCTTTACAGTGACCATATTTAAATAATTGAGTGCCTCATAATCCAATATTTTTGATTTTAGAACAAAATCAAGTGACTCCTGACTCCCTTTTTATTCAAAAATTCAAGTGTTCATTTAAAGTTTTGCTGTAAAGTTCATATAGCACTGTAATGAGTAGTTATACAAGTATACAGTATTGTGGTGCATCAGACCATCTGAAGTAGTTTGATTCTCTCTCCAGCAGAGTGTATCACTATCACCCTGACCTCTCTTGACCAATCACTAAAGTAAGCCAGTGATGTCATATAGTTTTGCCGACAAAATGCAGGATGCTAGCAAGCGAAGCCGTCCTGAGCAGACAATCCTGACACCAAAGTATCTGAGAAGCTCGTGTTGAAGTATTTTGTCAAGGCAAAGTAATTAACAAAATTAAGACTGGTTATCAACTTTGTACAAAGCAGATATTTGAATACATTGGAACAGACTGCGTGTCAGAACTTGATTTTAGGAAAAAGTGACAGCCAGACTTGCAATGCTGAGCACTTCCTGTATCGTGTGATATACATTGTTTGTTGTTCTTTTGCTTATAGGAAGGCAGTTAATATTCCAGTGTTTGCTAATGGAAACATTCAGCACCTGAGTGATGTGGAGCGCTGCATTCAGGAGACGGGGGTTCAGGGTGTTATGAGCGCAGGTTAGAGATGCATGTGTGTTGCAAGTTTTTGTTCATTACACCCATTTTTCTCTTATTCATTGTTGTTAATAGATGATATGGTGTTTGTTTTGAAACTAGATTCACTGTTTCTTCTTGTATCTAGAGGGGAACCTCCATAACCCTGCACTGTTTGAGGGCCACAGCCCTCCAGTGTGGGAGATGGCTGAGGAGTATCTGGAGCTGGTGAAGCAGTATCCTCCCTGCACTCTGTCCTATGTACGAGCCCACCTCTTCAAGCTGTGGCACCACACGTATGTCTGTCTCTCCTGTCGTTGTGTGTATCTGTGGACATATGTATAGACTTTATTAGGCTGAATATAGTACAACAATCAGCTAGATAAAAAATACTTATCAGTCTGGTTCTGTTTGTTATACTTTCCAGGGGTGCAGTTAGTCCAGAGCTTAGCTAGTAATGATATTCCCGTTTGACCATTTACACTGTTGATAGTTTAAGAATGACTATATATATATATATAATCTGATATGGATTTTAGCCATTGCTATGTAGCACGGTCTCAGTGAAATTTAATTTTTAACATGTATTGAATTCCTATAGACACGTTTACATGGAAAGCAATATTCCAATTCCATTATTAACCCGATTAAGACAATAGTCTGAAAAACGCATTGTCAGGTTAACAGCATTCTCTCATTACTGTAACATGAATAAGGTCATACTTGGAATAAGCAATAATCAAAGTAAGAAATGTGGATTGTTCCAATCTTAGTTTCATTATTAGACATGTATATGACTTTATCACATTAAATGTTGCATTGGGGATTTTGCAACATCAACATACGGCAGTTACTAACTGCCTGTCGATGCATGACCTGTGTTTGCGGGTAAACAAGTAGCAGGACATAATGTTGACATGAGTTCTAATCAGACTGTGCTCTGTTACAGAATATGAATGGAATATTTTATTAGCAATTTATAAACATCCTAATCTAAACAGTGTTGTATAAAGTGAGGTTAACATTTGGACTATTTCAATAAATACCTGGAAAAATGGCTGAACCTTTTGAATCTGTCTGCATATGCTGATTTGCGGCATGTGTGATTGTGTGTGTGTGTGTAGGCTACAGATACACCAGGACCTGAGGGAGGAGTTGGCCAAGGTGAAGAACCTCGAAAGTTTGGCCGATGTCAGCAAAAAGCTGAGGCTGCGCTGCCAGGTAACCGTAACTACAAGAATCTAAAGTTAAATAAAAACAGAACTGTACAAGCTCTCCCAACTTGAGCTAAAACTAATTAATACAGTAAAAGCCACGTGTTTCAGGAAAAGTCTGACTCCAGATCCAGCAAAGCTCTTTGAGACTTATCCAAACAGACTGGAAATACTAACTGGATGAAGTGTGATTGATAATATTTCTATGCCAATTACTGCATATGTGTTTGCACAGGAGGAGATAGCCAAAGGAAAGGACGTGGAAGAGAAGGAGGGCAGCCTGCCCTTCCCCCACTGGATCTGCCAGCCATACGTTAGACCAGTGTGAGTTACGGCTCCTGCTTTTATTGTCCATATGTAATCTGTTCACTGAGAGGGTTTCATAAAGAGTTCACACATCACTATACCAGGTTCTATACTGACAGATACATAGTAGACTTAATGTTGACGACCCCTTACAGGCCAAAGGAGCCAGTTGCCAATGGCAACAGCAAGGGTTCAGAGGTAAAGAAGACAGTTTGTCAGAAAAGAGCGCTGGAGGACACTGATGGGTCCTCTGACACACTCTCCAAAAACAAGCAGAAAAAGAGATCCCGCAACCCCAAGAAGAACTTCTGTCCCGAGCAGAAACGTGAGTCTAACCCACCACTTGATGCTCCAAATGTTCAAGTCCTCATTTGAAATGTTCAGTGTCTGACAGTGGCTCTCTTCTTTCTCTCCACAAGCCAAGTACATCAAATGTGAACAGTGTGGCAACCCAAAGGTAAGCAGTCAGTGTAGTGCGTGCGTGCGTGCGTGCGTCATTTGATTCATGGTGACAAATAGTTGTGTGGTTATGGATAAGTACATGAACAGTTTTGGTCATAGCCCCATGTGCTCAAGGAAATGTCAGAATAATGTCAATGTAAATAAGTGATGAAAATAATAATAATCTGTTTTAGCATCCTTTGTTCCTGTGTAATGGCATTTATGATATGTTATTATTTATTTATGTTACTTTGTATTGTCCCTTTACCTCAGTAGAAGCCTTGTAGTGGAGTGTACTGTACTGTTGTGGACTGTAAACCTAAGCAGTTGATATTGTTTTATTTTGATCTCCAGGGAAATAAATGTGTTTTCAACCTGTGTCGAGGCTGCTGTAAGAAAAAGGCCTACAAGGAGGTGGCAGACTGTCCAAGTCAGTACACACATTCAGACACACTCACACACTGCAGACCATCAGAGGTTCACTTAATGGGAGGGGGAGTGACGCAAGGGCGTATAGTTGGTTGCAATATCCATATTTATCATTAAATGTTCATACTGAACCTTTAATAAGGAGTGAAACTACATTTATTGGTCTGCCTTGTCAGAAGTGATGGTGCGTCTCTGTTTCATATCATTGTAAAGTAACATTCTGTCAGACTGTTGGTCAATCTAAGTCATTTGAAGAGTTTGTAGCTCACTCTGTTGTCATTTGCATAGACCTATCAATATTGAATGCAATTCCCTGTGATCAACAGGTCATGGGCTGAGGTTCAAGACCAAGGCGGAGAAACAGAAAGCTGACGAGGAAAATGGGAAGGACGCCTCAGAGACGGAGAGAAGCCGCAGCTCCCCTGAGCCTGTTCTACCGCCAAGTACAGAGCAGCAAGAGCAGTCACAGGCACATCTACCGCAATGAGCAGGACTCAAGCTATCTCTACATGCACAGAGCGATTCTGAGGTGTCACATGTAGAAGTCTTAAGTTCAGATGTTCATCATCTGTTGTGTGTTCTTACTTAGATCTACCTTGCTGGCGATGTGCATGTAGAGGTACGCAACGATAAGTCTCACAATTATTCTCCAGGACTTTCTTGACCGGACTGATGGTGAAATAGAGAAACTGATCAATAGACCAAAACCATGAAGTAAAGGAATATTTTTTTATTGGACGTGGATTTCCAGGACAATAATTAGCTTGGTATTTTTTGGAAGGTTGGGAGGTTTCCTCATCAAAACGAATGAATTCTCTACCAGCTGTCATTTTATTTTTTAAGTTGGATTTTATGTGGATAATGTTTGGACTTTATTTTGGCCAAATCTGTTACTAAGCCACCAAAGATTCAGTAACTTTCAGGCTGATGGAATTCTTTTATTGATTTCATTTAAGGTTATGAATGTGGTTGCATCTTCAACTATTTATTTGGGGTTTTAGGTTTGCCTGTAGTGCTTTGACCATATGTGCCTTTGGATGTGAAATACCACTGCCTATTCAGATAAGAACTTCCGCTTGTGAGAACACCATCTGGTGCTGTGCAGGACGAGCTCAGTGACTCCACAGTCCTGTAGCTGCTATGAACACTATAATATTTTTGGCAAAGGTTTTTCTTTCTTTTTTTAGATATACATTTCTCTTGTAAGGCTGATGAAAAGACTGGTGTTGTCAGTATGGACAATATGTACATAGACAGAAAATATATAAAAGTAGCATCAGTCTATTTGTCATACTCTGGACAAAGAGTATTTCCCAAATTGTGAAACTCTCCCTATAACTGAATTTGTCAGATATGTAAGACTCATTCCCCAAATCTTCTGTATGATGTTCTTAAAACGTGTTGGGGGAAGGAAGTAAATCCTTTTTTTTTCAATGCTTTTAATTAAACATCGCCGTCATAAAGTTTCAGTATTACTGACTAAGCTTCATCTTTCTGGTGGTACCAGTCTTTTCACTGAGCTGTCGGCAAGATCTGTCAAGAAAAGTCATTCCTTAACTTACAATGTCAACCTAAAATCTCATGTTCCAAGATCCATCCAACAAATCATGAATCTACTTGAGAGTTGCTGTTGCCTGATGAAACGTAACTATAACATTTGAGCTGGTTAAGTCTGGTTGGACCAGATTGCAGCGGAGGAGGCTGCCGTTCTTCAAACACGAGTAAATGTAAACCTCTGAAGTTTCCAACAGAAGATGATGTTTGAAAAAGTAAACTGGTAAAAAAAAAATGTTTCAAGAAAGACACTCGGTGAAATGTGCTCAATAGTTTTTTTCATAATCTTGCTGACAGAGAAAAACAACAATGAAAATATAACCTATTTGGTGGAAGTTTTTGGATAAATAAAAAAATGCTCCAGCAACACACAACTGCATCAGCATGAAATCTCTTCAGGCATTCTGTATTTTTTTCCATACACTGACTGTAACTTAAGTAGATCCCATTTCTGCCCATCAAACAATACAGTACTCTACTGTACTCTGCAGTGAAGCAACCTGGTATAGTATAGTTATTCCCAACTAAGTTGACAACTTTAACTTTTTTAGCAATTACTTACATACACATCTAGAAGACATGGGGCAGCATTTGATTAGAGTCTGAACAATACAAAAAATACATCAGTTCGTTTATAGAATCACTCGTAGCTTTATTTTCACAGCTGACATGTCACAGCAGTGCAACACAGGTATACATATGAATGATGGATGAGTTCCATTTAGCTGCTCCAGTTTCAGGGTCCTGCTGTTGTTTGTACTGGCTGACTGTCACACTGTCATGTCTCACTGGGACACTTGAACTGAGCAGATCCTTTATGTTTTCAGTTACGCCTGTGCTTTTCCTACCATGACATGTCACAGTGTCTTAAAGGTACTTGGGGGGTCAACTTATTAATTGATACAAAAATAGAGAAAATACTTTTTGAGGACTTGAGACAATATCTTATGGGACATAATGTTATTTTTACAACAGATGTAAACACTCAGACGACAAGCTGAAGATGTCGTCAACTCGGAGTTTACGCACTGAGAATGTCAACTTGTTCTTCAGCTTGACCAGGACAATGTCACTGACAGAGCCACTGCTCACAGCTTGATAGTCAGGGTGACGGAAACTCTACCCCTTCCCCAGGTTGTGTGCACCAACCTTACAGTCTATGGCGCCAACCCAAACCACTGATTGAGACCTATCAGACCCAAGCTGCCTGGCAACATAAACACACATATATTAGTTTGTCTGTGTCTTTCAAAACCTCTACACACACATTTACTACTGTACACACTAGTATTCTAATATGAATCTAGGTTCAGCAGATGCGGGACATCAGATGAAAAAGGACATAGTATGAACAATGCTTGTTTTTCAATATAGTTGACATGACAACCTGTTATCAGTCACTTTTTCTGATATACCATTATTGTGCTCTTAAATTTCAAAGAGTGACCAGATAGCATGTGCTCAAGAAAACTGGACCAGCCAGTAAATTGGAACTTAAAACATAAATCTTTTTTTTTTTAATTTCTGTTTTCAGTCCTTTTTTAAAACAATGAATAATGAATTTCATTAATGTAAGGCTTTTGATAATAAGAGGTCAAGTTACTCTGTGCATCATGTTTTAATAGTTAATATTAGTTATTAGTAGTTAATATTAGTTATTAGTAGTTAATATTAGTTAATCATAGTTAATAGTAGTTCATAATAGGTATAAGTAGTTCATATTAGTTATTCTTTAAAATTAGTTAGTAATTAATATTAGTTATTGGTAGTTCAAATCAGTTAATAGTAGTTATTAGTAGTTCACATTAGTTAGTAGTTATTAGTAGTTATAAGTAGTTATTAGTAGTTCATATTAGTTATTAGTTGTTAATATTGGTTCATAGTAGTTAGTAGCTGATATTAGTTATTAGTAGTTCATTGTAGTTTGTATTAGTTCATATTAGTTAGTAGCTGATATTAGTTATTAGTAGTTCATAGTAGTTTGTATTAGTTAATAGTAGTTAGTAGCTGATATTAGTTATTAGTAGTTCATATTAGTTAGTATTAGTTAATTTTAGTTAGTAGCTGATATTAGTTCATAGTGTTTACTAGTAGTATTTAATAGTAGCAGGACCTCAGTGTTTTATTAGCAGTGCTTTGATCCACAGTCGTACGGAACAGGAACCTTCGATGGCGGTCACTGTTTCCCCTGGTATTTATTAGTATGAGACACCGCGTGTCATGTGACCTCCATTATTAGTAAACACAGGTGAGCTCCAGCAGAGTGCGATCACAGACTGTGATTACAGACTGTGATTACAGACTGTGAGCACAGACTGTAGAGTCTGACGTCTGTGTCTGCGGAAGCGTCTCGAGCCGCTCGGTTAGCCTCCAGCTAACTGTGTGTTTAATGTAGCCGTTAGCTCGGTGGCTAGCCTGGACTCGTTCGTCATCATGGAGCCGACAGGCAGCGTTAACGCAGACCCTGCTCGGGAGGACGGTGGGTTTCTAACCGTGTCAACATCGAATGACAAACGCTGACGATACGTGATTCACCAAAGCTCTTGTTTGTCTTTTATCTACAGGTCGTTGCACACAATGGCGCAACTGGTCTGGGTTTTGGTGAGTGTTCACTGTTTGAAACTGAAAGTCGAGTTTCCTGGAGAAGACAAACACAGCTTCGAGCTTTGTGTTGTGTTATATACAGTCTATGGTTGTGACACACTGTTGAATGACACGATGACAGTGTCCTCGTACTGTCAGTGTTATATTCGTGTTTAAATTAGCATTTCATTGCAACTCCCCAAAAAAGGAAGAAAATGAGAATTATTTAAAGTGCTGTAATCAAAGCACCAGCAGGTTACATGGTAACTAGAAAATCTAGTCGAGACATTTTGAATGGGTGCCTTGTGCTCGTTGCTGCCGCTCGCACAGAGAGACAATTCCTTTAAGAGGAAGGACAGAGACCTGAGAGAGAGAGAGAGAGAGAGAGAGAGATATTTCATTTAAGAGGAAGAACAGAGAGAGAGAGAGACACTTCCTTTAAGAGGAAGGACAGAGATAGAGAGAGAGAGAGAGACGGTGAGAGCGAAAGACATTTCCAAAAGCTGCTTGATTTAATAATCATGCATGATCCAGGTGACAGAGAGACTTGACCAATTTCAGAGAGACAGAGAGAAACCATGTTGTAAGGTCTTATCACCCATCCATGGCATTTAAATTTAAAAATTCAGGCTTCCTGGAGACGTTCTGTAACTATTTGGGCATTTTATTTCGAAGGTCCAGCGTTTTTTAGACTTCCTAGGGACATCCTGTAACTATTTGGGGGTTTATTTTGAAAATCCAGCATTTTTTAGACTTCCTGGGAACATTCTGTAACTTAACCACTGGGCCAAAGCAGAGTGTGGTGAAACTTCCCCTCTGTCAGTCTATGGGGTTGCTATGGTTACTCACTGATTAGATGAGGAACACCTGTTGTCTCCTCACTTTGGAGAGCTGAACAAGCTTCAGACCACCGCTCACACAAAAGCTTCTAACTCAACATCTATAAGTCCTATCTGAGAAATAATCACATTGTGAGAATCACAAGACTTTGGCCGACGTCCACATATGTTTTTTTATTTAATAAGAGTTAAGAAATTAGACCGTAAGAGCGATTTAGAAATTTAGTTTTCTCATCAGGAATCATTTTTTGAGATCTACATTGAAGTCAATGGGAAAGTTGAGGGCTGTGCTCTAGCGCCAGTCTTTAAACAAATGTCTCTTACTCAAAAACTATAAGTCCTATCTGAGAAATGAAAACACCGTGAGAATCCCAAGACTTCCCCGAACGTATAGATCTATTCAGAGAGAGTTCAGAAATGAGACCGTGGGAGCGAGTTAGAATTTTTTTTCTGTTTTTTTCTCATTTCTGACTTTTTTTCAAAAATTAATTGGGAGTCAATGGAGAAATCTTTTCTCGGTAGATTGACTCAGCCTAAA